AACGCACTAACGTGCGTTGTCGTGCTCAACTACTCCTTTTAGTTCAAAGTCACCTTGTAATTTTTGATACCTTTTTTCTTTGCAGAACGGCCTCTAGATTCGGAGTTGGTCTTTGAGCTTTTGGGCGTGGGTCCCAGTCAGACTTAGATATATCAGACGAGGAAGCCGAGCCCAGAATCGAAGTTCGTCGATTATTGGATGAAGATGTACCTGATCAGGAATTACCAAATGCTGAAAATGAGTCTGATCCAGAAATTGATGTACCTATGGCTCGAATTGCACGAAATAATCGCGAGAATATCCCGCCTACACGTAGTTCTAATACGGCCATAAACATCCGCGAAAAACAACGGCCAAGACTGTGGAGAAGAACTGAATTTAATGACAAAGCTCATGAGTACAGTACTAGCCTCCCAGCTCAAGATATTACTGTAAAACACCACTACAATATTTTGAAGAGTATTTTAATGAATTTTTAAGCTATTGCATAGCTTCTATCGCGGGCTTTGAGCGCGGGGACCGAATCCAGAAATTCCGTAACGAAAAAACCTCACGCTCCTTGTACGACTCTACGAAGCTCGCACGAATCGAGACGAGCTGCTCCGAAATCGGACGAATACATAAGCAGCTGTTTATGAGAAAGTATATAGGTGTATAGGTATTTATGTACAACAGTGAATAGCTGTACTTGTAAAATTTGTGTATAAAGTGTTTTGAATATGAATGAACAAAGTGCATTTATTATTTATTTATTTAATAAAAGAAAAAAAATTGTTTTCTTATCGGTCACCACGCTCAAAAAGTGTAACTTGAATTAATATCAAAGAAAAAGAAATACTGCATAAATAAAATAAATAAATAATTATAATTGCATAAGTTGATACAAAATGCTATGCAATAGCTTTACCGCGGCAGTCCCCGAGTGCCACACGTCTTTTTTTTTCGAAAATATGGCCTCCTGCACCAATATTTACGCTTTGCGCAAAAAAAGGAATAGTTTTGAATACAAATAAGCAGGAAATGCGCAAATTGTTTGGCATTTTTCTGATTATGGGTTGTATACCGTTTCCACGTATACACATGTATTGGCGATCGGGTATGAGACTGGACATCATTGCCGAAAAAATGCCGAGAACGATTTTTTTTTGCTGCGTAACAATATGCATGTCGTGAATACGGAGGATGCTCCAGAGGGAAACACAAACCCTCTTTGGATGGTACTACCAGTGATTAACGCTGTTAAAAATACCTGCATGAAGCTTGAACGTGTTCCAGGATTCTATTCCATCGACGAACAGATTATACCGTTTGCAGGAAAATGCCATCTCAAGATACTTGTCAAAAATAAGCCTAGAACGCTAGGACTTAAAAATTATGTTCTTACTACCAGCGATGGTCTCATGCTGGATTTCGAAATATACTACCCAAATAATCCTGCTTTTGAAGATAGATCCTTAGGCGAGGGGCCAGCAGTAATTCTAGGTCTAGCCAAAAATGTTCCACCAAATAGTTGCCTTTACTTTGATCGGTATTTTAATACAATACCTCTGTAGGACCGACTTCAAGAGATTAATCTACATGGTACAGGCACTATCATGCTCAACCGAATACCAGATCACAAAAAACTGGATCTCAAGAATGACAAAGGTTTACAGCGTGGTGATGTGGTACAATATACTTCCAAGGATGTTGCACTTGTTAAGTGGAAAGACAACAAGGGTGTTCTTATGGCATCGAACCGCACAGGTGGAAACAATACAAGTTATATTCCAAGATGGTGTAAGAAGACCAAAAAATATGGCGACGTCAGTGCCCCACGTATTGTTTTGAATTACAATAAAAATATGGGGGGAGTTGACGTCCTAGACCAACTCTTAGAATACTATAGGACATACCAAAAGACCAGAAAGTGGACAGTTAAGGTGATGGTGCACTTTTTAGATCTAGCAGTTGTAAATGCTTGGCGAAAGTACCACAGAGACTGCGCTTCTAACAAAACCAAAGGCAAAGATCTACTTTGGTTTAGGGTAGATCTTGCAGACGCACTCATCAACAGTATACCTATTTATCAGTCTCGGCAGTTTGAAAATAACAATGAACCAATAACCTCGCAGGAGTTGCAGATAGAACCAGAGGAAAAACCGTCTATAAGATACAGGCCATCTGTTGCTCCTTCGTTTGACAAACGATTTGACAAGTTTGATCACATGTCAGTCTTAGATGACCTTAAAAGAGGCAGAAAATGCAGGATGGAGAGTTGCACTTCTACTACAAAAGTACGATGCAAAAAGTGTGATGTATACTTGTGTATACTACGAAAGCAAAATTGCTTTTTGGAGTACCACTCTAAGTAACTTTTAATGCCGTCCATGGAAACTTGGTACTTACAATTAGTGGTTAATTTTAGATTTCTTTTTTTTTTTGAGAATTGATAATGTTTTTGTTTGAGAATTTTAATTTTATTTTGAAAATTTCTTTTTTACCTAAGAATACTTTGACTGACTATGAGAATTGATAATGTTTTTGTTTGAGAATTTTAATTTTATTTTGAAAATTTCTTTTTACCTAAGAATACTTTGACTGACTAGTTGATAAAATAATTTTGTTGCTTTCAAGTAATATTACATAAATACGGGTTAAGAAACAAATAATTATAGTTCTTAATTAAGAATAAAGGTTCCTAATTATAAATGTCCTTAAAAAGACTGATTACATTACAAATGATATAGTAAAAGCATGATTTTTCATTTAATTTCCCTCGAACGCACAAAGTTGCGTTGGCACAGTTGAGCACGACAGCGCACGTTCGTGCGATGGTGATTTGGGGGGTCCTGGAGGAATACGATTTTTTTTAATTATTTTTTTAGGAACCCTTAGACCATAAATGTAAAACTGCATGGCATGGTTTCATTATTAATTATAATATTTTTTGTCGTGCTGTAAGGGTTATATTTAGATACAAATTACATATACATACATACTGATGAAATACAAATAATATTTTTTATCTTAGCGACATAATAGAAACAACTGAACTGGTTATTTGAATAAAAAATCATGAGTGCAATTAGTTTAATTTAAATTTTCGTGTTTTTAAAAAATACTAAAAAAGGGCTCAAAAAATAGATATTTTAAAAAAAGAAAGAAACTTGAAAAAAAAATTAAAGAGTCGGTCGGTCGGTCTGGGCTCGAACCATGGTGTTACGATTCTGTGACCGCCCAATATTCCAATTAAGCTATTTATAATCATTAATAAACTGTCAAAATTTACCTTCTTATTCTAACGATATTGTAGCAGTTTTTCATTGCTTAAAAACACAGACAAAAAGACATTTTCTAAAAATAAATCCTAGCTAGATCGATTTATTGCCCCCGAAACTCCCTGGTCACTATATTTTATGAAAATCGTTGGAGCCGTTTCCGAGATCCCGATTATATATATATATATATATATATATATATATATATATATATATATATATATATATATATATATAATACAAGAATTGGTCGTTTAAAGGTATAGGATATCTAAACCACACAATGGCGGGAGCGATGACGTCAGATATAAGCGATGCGGTTGGTTGCGTGTTTTCCGAACTTGTATAACCCCGTTAACACACGAGTGTACATGCTAGGCATAAAAAAGCGATAGATAAGAAAGCCCGGATATGGGCTTTGCAGTACTCTTATTGAAATAAAAAAAATGTTTTAATTCAGTAAATTTTTTACAGTTAGTTTGCCGAGGCCTCCCAGAAAGTAATCATAAGATACTTGTGTTGGGAGAGTCTCGCTCTTCCTACGGAATCGTATCAACTTAGATTAACATCAAAATTTTAAACTTAATAGTACATTTATTCATGCAGTTTAATACGAAAGAAAGAAGCTTAGGAGAAATTTAGGTATAACTGAGTAGTTGAGTCCGTAGTGTGTTAGTTTATGATGTGTGTGTGTGTGCGCAAATGTGTGAGTGGGTGTGTACGTGTGCAAGTTTATGAATGTGTCACATTACTTACTGATTTGTTGTGTCAGTGTGTGTTATTTAAGACTGGTTCATCTCTTTTTAACCAAAATATCTTCCACATCATCATAATTAAGAGTAGAGAGCCACTCGGTCAGAGTTTTTCTACACTCAAACATTTGCATTGGGTAAATTTTAAGTAAGCGATTGATCTTGTTATAGGCATCAGGGCCTTGAGATATATTTTGTCGAGTGGCAAATACTGTACGTGCAGGGTATGAGGGAGCCTCGATATCGCACCGCCTTTTCGTAAGTTTGGTATGGTCAAGAGGTAACGTTTTGTGATGTCTTAGTTTCATGTGTAAAATATAAAGATTCCTAACGGAGAGCAGCTTAGATGTTTGGTATAGGGTTTCGGTGGAAAACCTATAGGGCCTACAGTACATTACCTTAATCAAGGATCTTTGCGCCATTTCTAGATCTATAAAGTATGATTTCGCTGCTCCTCCCCATACGGAGATGCAGTAGATTATTACAGATTGGGCTAGTGCGACATATATTTTATTCATAGTTTAGGACTCATCACGTTTCTCAGAGATTTGAAAACCCACATGAGCTTTCTTACTCTCCCTATTGTTAGTTCTAGGTGTGGACACCAACTTAATCTTTGATCTACAATGATTCCGAGGTATTTAACACAACTAACTTTCTGAATTACTGGGCAATTACATGTGTTAGGGAAAGGTGTACCACAAATGTGTGACGGCTGCGAATTTATATATGGAGCGAAGCATATATAATTTTCGTTTTTTGAGTGTTAAGAATAAGGAGATTGTCACTTAGCCAATGCCTACCTTCACCTAGTCCCATCTAAGCCCCCATCCTAATTTTATCCCAGGTCTTAGCGGTGAAAATAATAGCGGTATCATCATTATTACTGCTGCTTCTGAAGATGCTGAATAATTATTATGGAATGATCTTTTAGATCAAAATTCGTCAGCTGTCACGTCAATCATTGGTGTACCTTCAACGTCTACCTTCAAACTTCTTTTGCATGTTCAGCTTCCTCGATGCCAGCCTTGGCCATTTCTTCCACTGCTGTTATGTGGAACCATTCGTAAAAAAAATTTCCTGTTTAGACGTATAAATTCTTTGACATACCAGGTATATCGGTATTACTAGATTATGATCCATATCTAAATCAAATGTTTATAAAACAAATACGCAGTGATTTATAATACCTAAAAGAATTTTAATATACAAAAAATAATAAAGTGGAGCAACTCTCAATTTGTAACAACGCGCAACCAAGGTTTGAGAAAGAGAGCGAGAGCAATAGCACAAACTTGGCACAGAACAGACTTCTGAACGCTACGGCCGCTCAGCGGTTAATTGATATAAAAATAGAGTATATTTTCGATTGAAAACTATTTCATTCGATTCTGAACGAACTAAAGAATATTCTGGAGCATTATATTCACTCGGTTACATAGACATCATCAAATATAACAGCCATTCGCTTTTGCGTGCCGGTGCGGTTGGTTGCGTAATCGTTGAAGTTTTGTGATTGTGATTTTAGTTGGATTTTCTTTCAAAAAAACTGTAAGTAATGTTATTTATCTTTACTACGTAATGTTTTTGAATGATTTAAGTTACAACAACAGTAACTTTTTATGTTTCAATTGATAAAAAAGTAGAAATAAAAAACCTCTACGCGAACAATTCGTAACGGTCAAGATTTCTAATAAGATAATAATAGTATATTTCTTATTGGAATACTATAGTAAATACTTTTACTAGTAATTGCTAAATGTTATATCTATATGATTGTATTAGAAAAATAAAGGAAGACGATATAAAATATATACACAAAAAGGTTTTGAAAATGAGTTTACAAAGCGCGCGCAAACTGTCTATTGTCGAATTTTTAGCAAATGTTTGCAAGTGAAAAAGTAGAATTATTATAATTATTACATGCATAATTTCGGTTCATTTAGGAAGAATATCCCTTTCAGCGCGAGAATTTTTTTTATTGATTTCTGAAAAATCTGGTTAATTTCCTGAGACTTTAGGGTCTTCGTAAACAGGGAAAAATAGTAAAAAAAAAATTGGGGTGGTTCGCCCCCCCCCCCTTATAGTACCCACACGATCGTATCAATCCGTCACGACCCTATAAATAGTATTTTTATTGAGGGTACAGTTGTAAGTGAAAAATAAAAGGCATTTTCAATATAAGAAACTGTATATTTCTTTGTGTAACAAACATCTCTTCTATTACTTAATATAACTTCTTAACATCAGTAAGAAATTTAATCAAAAAATACTTTTAAACGTACAAACATTAACAATTCTTAGAGTAACTTTTAACATTGTTAATCAGTCTTCTTTCAGTCAGGAATTATTCTTCAAGTAGGTACTTAGATAACTTTGGTCGCTCCTGTAAAATAGCATCATGCTATAAGCAGGAGTGCTACCAAGCCTGGGCTGATTCATCAGCGTCCCGGGATGTAAACACCAGCGCTCTAAAAAAGAAGAATAATTCCGCCTCTAGGTCCTTCAAAAGAGTCATTGCCAAGGCAAAGTCAGAGCACATAGGCAGAATTGGCGAGAAACTAGTTCGCCTTCCTTCTGGAACCCGTGCATTCTGGTCTCTCGCCAAGGCTGTCCAGGGGAATTTCTGTCAGCCATCTCTTCCATCTCTGCACAGGGAGGACGACTCACTGGCCCATACTGCAAAGGAGAAAGCCGATCTTCTAGGCTCTTTCTTTGCGTCTAACTCGACTCTCGATGACGGGGGGAGTACGCCGCCGACCATCCCGCGGTGTGAGTGCTCCATGCCGGAAGTGCAGTTCACACAGCGCTCGGTTCGCAAAGCACTCCTCTCCCTGGACATCCACAAGTCGAGAGGGCCTGACGGAATCCCCCCAATTGTGCTGAGGACGTATGCTCCAAAGTTGGCACCGGTTTTAACGCGTCTTTTCCGGTACTCCTACTCCCTAGACGTAGTCCCAAAATCATGGAAGACGGCTTTCGTCCACCCGATCCCTAAAAAAGGCGACCGCTCAGACCCGTCCAATCGCCATCACCTCCTTGTTCTCCAAAACAATGGAGTCCATTGTAAACTGCCAGGTCATGAGGTACCTTGAGGATCACCAGCTGATTAGTGACCGCCAATACGGTTTTCGCCGTGGTCGGTCAGCTGGTGATCTTCTGGTCTACCTTACTCACAGATGGGCGGAGGCAGTAGAGTTCAAGGGGGAGGCATTGGCCGTTAGTTTGGACATTGCGAAGGCCTTCGATCGGGTTTGGCACAAAGCGCTTCTTTCGAAGCTCCCTTCCTATGGGCTTCCCGAGAAATTGTGCGATTGGATCACCAGCTTTCTTGCAGATCGGAGCATCAAGGTCGTTGTAGACGGTGCAAGCTCCGATTGCAAGCCTATTAATGCTGGTGTTCCACAAGGCTGCGTGCTATCGCCAACGCTGTTTCTTCTGCATATCAATGATATGTTGCATACCCGTAACATTCATTGCTATGCAGATGACAGCACTGGTGATGCTCTTTACACCGGCCGAGCCAATATTTCTCGGGAAAACGTCTCCGAGTGCCGGGACAAACTTGTGTCTGAAGTCGAGTCTTTGCTGAACAGAGTCTCGGATTGGGGACGACTAAACCTAGTCCAGTTTAACCCCCAGAAGACACAAGTTTGCGCGTTAACCGCTAAAAAGAACCCCTTTGTCGTATCCCCTCCGTTTCAAGGCACTCCCCTTGTTGCCTCAGCCAGTATCGGAATCCTCGGCGTTGACATATCGAGTGACGTGCAGTTTCGTGGTCACTTGGAAGGGAAGGCCAAATTGGCCTCTAAAAAGCTTGGCGTGCTCAGCAGAGCGGGACAGTATTTCATGCCGGCACACCGCCTGCAACTTTACAAGGCGCAGGTTCGGCCGCACATGGAATACTGTTCCCATCTCTGGGCTGGGGCTCCCCAGTACCAGCTCCTTCCACTTGACCGCATCCAGCGCAGAGCGGCTCGAATCGTCGACGACCGAGTGCTTTCCGATCGGCTCGATTCACTGGCGCTGCGAAGAGATGTTGCATCTCTTTGCGTGTTTTATCGCATCTATCACGGGGAGTGCTCTGAGGAATTGTTCGGATTAATCCCAGCCGCCAAATTTCGTGAACGCACTACACGGCAAATGTCCCGATACCATCCACACCATCTGGATGCTTGGCGGTCCACCACTGTCCGTTTCACAAGGAGTTTTCTTCCACGTACAACCTCTCTGTGGAATAGTTTACCACCGGCGATTTTTCCAGACCGGTACGACCTGGGGACCTTCAAGAAAAGAGCTTACTCCTTTCTAAAGGGCCGTCAACGCACGCGCAATTCTCCTGGTGTTGCGGTTGATCATGGGCGGCGGTAGTCACTTAACATCAGGTGAGCCGCATGCTCGTTTGCCCCTTCTTCTATAAAAAAAAACTATCAGAGATCAAAAGTATTGAGTTATTATTAATAATAAAAGACTATTTTTTTATGGTAGTCATAAAAACAATTATTAGCTCGAGAAAGGCACAAGTAGATGTTGCATTTTGAACAGAGCACCTTCGATCGTGATTTACAATCTTCCATCCGGCAGCTTCTTGGAACTTTTATTGTGTCAAATATCGGTAGATGATCATATTCGTCATACCTCTTGTCGATCGACGGAGGAGGGGAAGGCTTGTAGCGACCAGCACCATGTCTTTCGTCAGGGTTTTCATCATCGGCTTCTTCAGGTATATTTCTGTCAGGGGTATTCAACAATGAATCTGAAATAGCCAACCTGAACCAAAGTAGATGTTTTATATTTTTGTTACTGGGATCTGCCAGCTCCGAATCAATTTTGTATTGACGCCAAGCGTTGGCAACTGACAAATCTAGTAAATGTATTAATACCTTCACGGTCCATTTCTTGGTTTTTTGGAATGTGCGATAATATTCTATGGTCTGATCTAAAACATCCACTCCGCCCATATTTTTATTATAGTTACCTGTAAGCTCTGACAGCGCGCGACATGTTATACTCCCGTTCGCTCGGGACCGTAATGGCGGCAAAATTTGAAAATTAGCAAATTTTTTTGCTATATTGCAAATTTTGCTATATTTTCACTTTGAGACAATATTTATGGATAAAACTTACAGGAATTCTTGTTGAATGTATAAACTATCGAATAAAATTATTTTTGGTTGCTAGAAATTGTAATAAAATACGTAAATTACCCTGTATAGCTGTATAGTGGTATAAACTTCAATTTTAGTGACAAAATTACTACTAATTTGAATTCTACACTTTTGTTTTTAGAGAAATTTATATGAAAATGTTTGGAAATATGTATATTTTTATGTTTTATGTGTTTCCATTCGTTACTCATACCAAAATATAAAATATAAAGAAATTAAAAAAATTAAATATTAATATTTTATCTGTGTGACATTTAGAACAATATTTCTAAAATAGTTTTGTGTGAATTTGAAATAAATACAACGTCAAGTTATTTGAAATATGTAAGAAAACTATTTTTACTTACATTTTACACTAAAAATAAATGAGAATGTGAAAAATACCACATTTATGACCCAGCCGCCATAATGGGCCTTCCAGATTTTGAAGCACTTTTGGCAATTTACTTTTCACTTTTTATACCACAAATTATATATATGTGTTCACTATATTACAAGGAATATAAAAAAGTATAATACTTTCGTTTTAGTCCAGACACAAATATAAAATTCTATAAAAAAGACAGAGCACCTACATCAAAACGGCACGTGGAACGCCGAAAGTTCAGAGTGATTTTTTTTTTTTTTTTCTAAGAAACATTGCCAGGTTATGGTTTAAAATAAAAGAGCATATCTTTGTCTTTGATACTAATATCTATTGCATAGTGTCTTTGGTTTTGTTTAAAACGAAAAAATAGTTTTTTCATAGGTAGACATGTTTACATAATTCTGATCTAATTCGATCACTACTTGGCGGGCGTAAGGTTGGTATTGCGCGATCGAAGGTGAGCTAGGCTTGGTTAACAGGTTAAAACAATTTTAGGCACTTTTACAGGCACGTAACTTTTTTGTTTTTATCTCATCTAGGAACGT